CATCATATATGAGTTTCTGCACATGGGATTTTGCTCAGCCTTCAAGTCTGCCAGTGTATCCCACCTCCTGTGGTGCTGGCCATCACTAGCACCAGCATCACACAAGAGTGTGTAATTTGCCTGGGCAGCAACTTGGCAATGCAACACTAGAGTCCTTCTGTGTACCTACAAGGTCTTCTATTGCTGGCATCATGAAGTTACGGACATCATGAAGTTACAGTCATACTTGCAAAACACCTTTTTCGCTATGGTCTAACTGGTTTTATTTCAGCCTTGGACCCAGAGTGAGGTCCAGACCCGTTCTTTTGAGCACTAGAAAATTGCATTATAAGAAACAGTTTTCTTGTGTTTCTTCATGAGTGTAATACAAAGAACAAACGAGATACTGAGCACCATGAACCAAGGTGTCAGTGAAGTAGTATTCTCTTGGACTAATGAGTAAATATTTGCAGGAAATATAGGAGTAATATATCTTTCTAAGTATCCTGACTTCTTCAGGATGAATGGGAAGACTTTTTCTTGCTCCTTTAAAATGAAGGCCATTACCCTCCTCAGACTGTCATGGCTGTGGATGTATAAACCATGCTCAGCATGTCTGATTCCTGGCATCGTTTTTTACACACAACACAATCCCAACTTTGCTAAGTATTTTGTAAGCACTTAGAAAAACTGAAGAAGTATGTGCTCTGACCTCGGCGTTGTCCTTGTGCTGTCAGGGTTCAGATATGGAGAAAGGGGGGAGTTTTCTTGCTCAATACCTCTCTGATACCTGTAACCTTTCTTTCTCAGGAAGACCCCCACTCTTTATCATGTTTAAAATACCCCCACGTTATCCTTGTACATACCTGTGATGATGCATCCTCTGGTTTTCATTAGCAACATACTCACTTAACTATTGTTTCTAATGGTTTAAAAAGGGCTAGATTGATGTTTGTTATTGAGGCCTGCAAATATTTTTCTGCTCAGTGCTATTCTTTATCGCTTAAGAGAAGCAAGCAGTTTCATTTGGGAGTTCAGATTTCATGCACATTCAGAAGTCTGGGTTTTCACGTTTGCGTTTGAAGAAGGTTTTTTGTCTTTCCTGGCACCTTTCCTTTCCTCTCTAGAACATAGCTCTATTGGAAAGTTGAAGCTTTTAAAGTGCCTTTTTGTCTGAGACCCGATCATCAGCAATTTGGTTCTCAAATGTTGTCATCCAGTGTCTAAGATTCTTTTTACCCATTAGTTTGTCAAGGAGCATTTTGAAGAGGTTCAGAGCAAAAAGAAAGTTGTGTGTAGGCAGAAGAAAAATTGCTCAGGATTTTCCTTGCTGTTTAAACCTGTAAGGCCTTTGAAGTTCATATGGGTGTCATTAGTCTGGGTACTTACAAACACTAACCAGTATTTTTTTCACCAAGTGCCTGATCAATGAGACGTGTCCATTGCACCATCTAACAAGGAGTAAGTGCTTATTAAGGAACCTGCAGGACCCCCCAGGGTACAGAAAAGTTTGAACTGATGTATAGGGTGTTGTGTTGATTCTTTTATGTAAATGTCAAATTCAATCCATGCCCTTTTTTATCACCAGTAAGCTAAACTGCTAATGAGAAAAATAGAGCCCATGCAACAGTTTCCTCCTTTATTTATGACTTAAGAACAGCTTTATCAAATAGCCATGCCTCACAATACAGAACATCTGGTTGGCAGAAGTGCCCTGTCAGCAGACAGCAGCAATTACACCAAGGTCAAACAGCATCTCAGTTACAAGGCAGGCCAAATGACAGAGAGTGAAGCTGCTCAGAGTTGAACAGACCTCAGGCTAGATTAATCTTTATATTTAATGCACACAGCCCCTGTTTTGGGGTGGGTTTTTTCTTTAATTTCAATCTCAGACCAGAGGAGGTTTCACCACAAGTGAACTCAAGATTAAAGTCTGGCTAACTGGACTACAACAGGAGATGTTGATCTGAATTAACGTTTTTGCTTTTAATTCATCTTGCCATAAACCAGCAAGCCTGAGCTATTTAAATGGATTTTGGTGGGGAGCTCTGATGGGATGACAAAACGAGAGTGCTTAAGCAAAAAAATTGCTTTCTTCCCCTGAAAACCTTTCCGTTTTCCTTTACTGTTAATACCTAATATTCGTGGAAGAACTTCCAAGCTTGTTTGGCTGTTTCTCTAACTTACTGCTCCATGCCACGGGTCTCTGTATGTACAGTCTAACTGCCATTGCATCAGAACACAGTTAGGTCTGAGATGGCTTTTTCTTTGTCATGTACCTGTCAGAACTCACTGAGCACCTTCCACAAAGTCATTTGGGATCTCTGTGACAGAAACATGGTTTTGGAACCACAAGCTGGGATGCAAACCAATGGACACTCCCCTTTCTTCATGGGGTGGCATCATCTTATTCTGTTATTTTTATATATATATATATGTATATATATATAAAATATCATATATGTGTCAAAGATGAGAAGACCCAGAGGGGCTTGACACATTGATGCCCATTGCCAGATTCATGTTCAACAGACCCAGCTGCACACAGCACACGGGCTGGCTTGCCAGCACCATGTCCATCCAGTTGCTGATGCAGAGTCACAGATTTTATAGCTCATAGTGACTCCCTCTTCGGGTCTGCTTCATCCAGCAAGAGAGCTGTGAAAGCTGTGGGAGCTTCTCCTCCTCTGGACTTGTAACATGTTCTGTATTCTCAGTCAGTACCAATGTTGGCCTAATAGTGAGTAGAGTACTTTGTTCATGCTGCGAAGGCCCATATTGTTATAATAATTCAGAGATCTAATTTGTAGATATTTCAGTTCAAGTTAAGACAGACTGACCTACATGTGGCTGGATCCAGAGGCTCTGTAATGCAAAAATTAATCAGAAGTGATACACAGAAACCCAGTTCTGCTGATTCCAGCATATATGGACGTAATGCAGTGACAGCTAGGAAATGTGTAGTCATGAGTTTATGATTGTTGCATGCTAGAGGAAGCCTGGTTCTTCAATAACAGCACAAAGCATCACTCTCTGCAATATGTACATGTGTCTGCTGGTGTTCCAAGTGGCACTGGGTGGGGCCATGAGGAAAACCAAGAGCAGCTGTGGTGGTGAAACAGGGTCAATAAAAGCTTGAATTATTGTTAACATATGTACCACTGTAATAAACCCCAGTTTGATCACTTACAAGAGCAGCATATTGCTGAATAACCCCCCTCTGGATACGTCTGTATTCCAAAGCATGTCATAAGGAAAGATTAACAGTTTTGGAAAGGGATCTTTTCCTTGAGATGAAGATTTCATTTCCTTGCCTGGTACTTTTGGAAACCTTTCAGAAAGCTGAAAGCAAAATAAAACACTCATAAGCTGGTGTGTTAAACCTGAGCAGTGTCTTGTTGAGCACAGTGATCCAGCCCAAAGGGTGCTGGGGTCTTGGGAAGGCCAACTGCTCTCTGATAATTAGGCTAAAAAGAATTGCAAAGTTATTCTGAGGCTGGTTTTGTTTTCTTAAGGCTTCTAAACCAAGTTTTGCTGTAAGAAAATGGTCTAAAACTATGTTCTCAGAAGAGTTGTGTTTCTGTTATACAGGACTGAAAGAATTTCACGTCTGCCTTCTGCCCCTTCATTGCAATTCCTACATAAATGTTTAGGTCTTTCTGGTTTCACCTCTTGGTAATACCCCTCTGCCCAAATCCCACCTCAACACTCACCTTGCCAGTCATGAAGGCTAATCTGCATTTAGTGACAACAGCCTGGATGATTTCAGGAGGTGAATAAATGAGTCTTACCATTGGTTTTGCCACAGTGAAATTCTCCACTTTAAAGCAGCAGGTATGTGTGGTATTGATTCAGCCTTTTTTTCTTGAAATAGATACAATCAAATAATATTCTGACACCACTATTTTTTTCTTATTAAATAAATATATTTTCAGTTCTCAGAACTCCCACAGTGCCACATACAATAGCTTTTGAGGGAAAAATGATTGGTGTCATTTGGAAACAGGAATCCTTTTTGATGATGTGTTTTTGGCAGTCTGAAACCCCCAGCAGTGAGCACACGGATTTTTCACTCTAGTACATTTTTCTTACCCAATTCAAACAAATGTTTAAGAAGTGGACATTTATTTCTGTGGCGTGAGGAACTCTGAGTTCTCTGCTACGGGGAATTACGATGTATGGGTAGCAATTCAAGTACATGATGGAAAAGTGATGCTACAACTCAAGTGATGGGAGCCTGTGTAACAGCTCCTCCCTTAGGTCAGAAATGGGATTGAGCTCTTGAGCTTCAGAGCTGAAAACTAAATCCTTACCCGGGAATTAAAGAACTCCTACCTTCCGCAGCAGCAGCAAAATCTTACCCCCTCAGCAAAGCAACAGTAAGGTGGCTACAGATGCATGCAGAACTGGAGCAGGGAGTATTTACACAAACAAGATGCTTTATTTTTTATTCATGAGTAGAAAATAGGAATCTATTCAAAACAGTAGTTCAAAACTGAAATACGACGTTGAGAAAGGAAAGAGAGAGAAGACAAAGGAACATGCAATATGCATTATTTTCCATATAGCTAACTATTCAGAGCGGGCACTTAACTCTTACTTAAGTCCAAACTGGGCAACAGAGGAAGCTGGGGGGAAACAGAAACACTTCAGAGTGAGTGGTGGTGCTGGGAATTGCTGTGGTGTAAGACAGGAAGATAACATGAAAATGTGAGTTCAGAATTGGTATCACAGTGGATAAGCTTTGGTAGCAATGGATAATACTCCGAACGGAGAAAGGGTATGGGGCTTACCTGGTGGAGCAGGTGAATGGAGTGAGTAAAGGGAGGAGCAGCACACTGCAGACAGCATGTAAGGGGAGAGAAAGACAATAGTGAGGGGGACTGCAAGGGTAAGGATGAGGCGAAGGACTAGCAGCAGGGGAGGGTGACACATGGCTGATCTATAGGCTAGTGGAGCACGTGTTATGTGCTGCTTTATGAGCACTGAGCTGTCCCTGTGCTTGGAAACGACTCCGTGTATTTGAAAGAGAAAAAGAGATCCTAGGCTGTCCAGTCCCAGAGAAAACAGTGTATGTGTTGTTTTTGTGCCATTCTGAGGAGCAGTCTGTAAATTCTCTTGAAATAAAAAAGAAGTGGCCTTTTTATTGACCAGCAGCTCTTCCCCTGCGCTTGGTTTTCTCAGAATAATTTAGGCTAGAGCCTGCAGTGGAGTGTAAACACCCTGTGCTTGTAAATAAGTGAGTTTGGGTACTGGAATACATGGAACCACGCTACCAGAGCATTCCATGTGGGTTCATTTTCCTGCCTTCTCCATGCTGTGCTTGTACACCCAGCTCCAGGGGGCTGTTTTGGGAGCAGTGTATTTCCTAATCAGCAGCACTGATGTCCTGAAATTAGAATAATTAGAAGGCTAAATCGTGTTGGACCTCATCAGTTCGTTGATGAGAAAAAGAACCTTCAAGGGAAACTGCAGATATTGATAACGATGAAACTCTTCTCTCCAAAGTTATCAAGTAGTCAGTGCCCCAAAAAGTCTTGGGGAGTTTGGGGCATACTAGCATATAGTATAGCTGAGTGCTGTTAAAAGTTTCTGCCTTCTGCCCCAGAGGATCTAGATATCAGTAATGGGAGAAATGTCAAGTTAATAAATCATGGGGTCCTCTTTCGGAATCAAAAAACCCACATGAAATTCAGTGCTCTTTCTTGGTCTGTTTTTTCCTTTTATATTTTATTTCCACGTATACTCATCCCCTGCTGCATCCATCTAAATTGCAGTGAGCTGTTTGTCTGTGTCTGTACAGCTTTCTGCAGCTGTACAGAGTCTGTACGTTGGGTACCCAATGTGCAGAATCTCCTTTGCAACACTGACCTTTCTGAAGGGACTGGCAGTGGGTTTTTCACTGGGAGTCTTTGAATCTGAACCTTGTGAGACAAGGAAGAGACAGCAAGCAGAAGCTTTCATGTGTCTCACAGCTGCCTTCCTATCCCAGTCAAGATCTGATTTCATTCTGAAAGGTCCTATTGTTTCCAGTAAGGACTGTGAAATAGTTACTTGCTGAGTGACAGTGAATGGAGGGGCAGCTGGGCAAGCAGGGGAGGTTCTCCCCAGCAACTCACAGCTGTGCACTAGGATGGCAGATGTGAGGATTTGACACCCCCTTTCCCCCCAGGACAGAGGATGGAAAGCTGCTGTTGTCAGCCTAGATGAGACTTTGCATGGCAAATACCTTTCCAGATCTGAATAACCCCCATTTTCCCAAAGAGATAGTCCAATTTTATGCAAGTTATTCCCAGAAGGAATATGTCAGATTTTTGATTCCGGTTATTGACTAAAACCAGAAATTTTATATAACATGGACCTGCTAATGCAAACAGTGTGTTAGAATGAATGCACGCATCAGCTTTGATAGGCAAAGGGCACATGTAACTTCTGCTTGTTTTTCTTGACTCCAGGAGCCACACTTGGCATCTTCAGCCTGGTTTTATGGAAGTAACTTCTGCACACAGCTATACAGTTTCTAGTGTTTATTATTTTGTCCATAGTTGTTCAAGTGCCTGCTTCTTTGTCCTTTCCAATGGGAAACTATTCTACTAATCTCAAATGCATTATTCCCGGTAGTCATACTGAGATTTTATATTCCTTTGTTTCATTCCCTTGCTCCTGAATTTTTCTCTTTATTCAATGAGCAATACCACTCCTTTCTTTTTAAGGTGTTACACACTTAGTAAGTTTGAATCTTATAGTTTGTTTTCACGCCTCTCATATTATTTATTGGTTGGTTGAATAGTGAGCCTGCAGTTAAAGTTTGGGGCTTTCTGAAGTTTGGACTAATTAGTAGAAGGCTAAATATGTTAATTCACAAAGTAAAAGAGCTTCAAATGTCACTCAAAACTCCTGCAGCAAATAGGGAATAAATTGTAAGGGAACACTTCAAAGTTGAAAGGTCTCACAATCAAAATCCAGACACAGGGACAGAAAAGAGACCAGAATTTGTTTCACATCTGTTTTAGAAGTGACCAAAGTAGGAGAGAGCTGAGGGCTTCCTTAAGTTGCACTTCTCATTTGTCTGGAGTTGGAGTTTGTGGGAAACCAAGAGTTAGAAGTTGAGCAGCTGCTAATGTTGACGAAGGGCCTTTTGTCATGATCATTGTGTTATACCCTACTGAGGCATCTTGTGGTGGAAAATACAGGTGAAGATTGCACTGCCCATTCCAGAGCAGTGGGCTCACGCTGGGAAGATCACCAGATCTTTCTTTCCTGTAATGGCATGTTCACTTCAGCAATGAGATATTTAAGAATTGGGCTAAAGCAAAAGGCTCCAGCTGCTCTCTCCTAGACAGGAATGTTCCAGAAATGCATCCAGTGGGTGGCCCAGGTTCTGTCACTTGTGATACTGATGTGTTCAAGCAAGAGGCTTCACTGACTCATGTATGGCCAGGTACATAAAGACACTGCAGACAGCAAGCAGCCGTCTCTAGACAGACAGTGGGGGTTCAGCGGAACTGGCAGGAGCAGCACAAGCTGTCATTTGGCTGGGAGTGGGAACAATGGCATTTTCTGAAGGCTGGTCTTAGTCTTGCAGGGAGGGAATTCCTGTTGGGAATGAGTGCCTTTCTCATGCTACTTTACCCTGGCCATCAACAGCCCCTGGTTATTGGAAGTCTATAAATAAACCAGGACAAAAGCAGATACCTGCATGGAGTCTGTAAGTGCTTTTAGGAAGGAGGGTAATTGAACCTCTAGGAAGGCAGACCTAACCAGTATTCTTTGGCCCATCCATGTTCCCAAAGCCCTTGAGTCAAATCATCCTCAGATTCCCTACTGTCATCCCAAGAGAGGTCTTGACATCAGCGGGTTTAGATTTAGAAAGACTGAGATCACATCAAGGTCAGACCTGGCTCTTCTTTTGAACCCAATTCTGAACTGCTTCTAGAAGTCTGTTATCTCTCTACCTGGGCCAGCAACAAAGGACGTCAACTCCTGTGGCCTATGTAGCTGCTTAGTTCAATGGCAGAACTTGAAGATCAGATGTATCATACAATCATGGAATGGTTTGGGTTGGAAGGGACCTTAGAGATCATCTAGTTCCACTCCCCTGCCATGGGCAGGACACCTTTCTCTAGGCAAGGTTGCTCAAAGCCTGTCCAACCTGAATAGGTGTCCATCAAAAAGCACAAGCCCTTTAACAGAAACAGTTCTGCATCTATACACACATGCACACACTTCAAAATACTTGTCTCTACATAAAACTAGTAATGCTAATTTTGCCCAAATAAAGCCAAGTCCATATCTGCAAATGAACATACACCAACACACACCACGCTGCATGAGCACGTACCTGAATCCAGGTGCACACTCCACATTCTCACCTTCTTTCTGCAGAGCGACCTCCAGCACACAAATAACCAAGCTCAGACACTCAAACATGTGTGTTCATGTCAACAAAAAGACTTCCACAAATAAACTGTATGGGCACATTCATACATTGCAATAAAAATGCTCTTCAGCATATTTGCATATGCAAAAAATATGGAACAAAACCCCCACAAGCAGCACACACACACACACACACACAAAAGACAGGAATCACTCAGCAGCTCCAGTGTTTATGCTGGCAGGAGGATGTCAGTCACTGAGCAGCCTGCCTCCAAACAGATGTTTGATTGTTTTTGGGTTGCGGTTTAATTGTTGGATAGTGTTCCAGCACTCAGAGGGGATCGAAAATACTCCAGGTCTGCAGCTGCAGCAAATGCCAGCCTTGAAACAAGGCAGATTCTGAAATCATTGCTCAGGGGGAAACTGCTTGCACAGGAAACCTTAGCCAAGCTCTGCATTAATACTGCTTTGAAGTCAGAAAATTAATCTCTGCCATTTAAAAAAGTTCTGTTTTTTCAGGGCTTTTGTAAGTTTATCTAAGCCAAGCCAAGTCCTTCTGGGCAACTGCGACAGTTTATTGACTTGCCCAGGCTTAGAGTCCTTACTGGTTCTCTCTTCGTTTTCCAGAAAATCTTCCCTGGATTCTGTCCTGCACTTCAAGGTTCCTGGTGGAAGTGAGAAGCAACTTGTTAGTCAGTCTTAGTCTTAGTTGCCAGTCAGTTTTTATTACACTAAAAGACTCACTCGTTGCAATTGACCTTTGTCGAGAAGAATGCATAGTGCAAGACTGCATCTCTACTTCTCCAGCCACCTGAAGTACCAGGTTGCATTATCCAGATGTGCCACTGGAAGCAGATGCCAGGACTTTAAGCTTGGTGGTAGATGAAGGGCTGTATGGGATATGTGCTCTACATTTAGTTTAGGTTTGTGGGAAGGAACAGAAGGGAACATGTAGCTGTTCTCCTGAGCACTAGATATGAGAGACATGGAGAAACTGAGTGATGGGTAGGGAGGTATTCAGAGAATCCCCTGGGGAAAACTTTACTGAGGACAATCAAAATAAAAATCCCAAATGTGCATTTAACAGCCATTTTGGATTCACTTGGAAGGGTGGTTGCATCACTGACTCTTGAATCATTGTATTGTTTGGGAACATTGTCTTGGAAGTAGACAGGACAGTGTTGGATCTGTCATTGTAAAGATTCTGGGATCCTTAAGGAGACCTTCCAATCGTCCGCTGCAAGAAAAGCAGATGGGATCTGTGTCCAGTAAGTGCTATGTCTTGCAAGTAGCTTGGGATTCGGAATGTTGTGTAAGATCTGTTATCTACAGTGCAAATGTAGAGCATGTAACTGTGGTTTCCTTTGGGATGAGAAGCACTAAATACTTGCAAGTTCTTGTGATTGTTGTGAATATGAATGAATCCTCTGGGTGGCCTTTTAATAATATAATTGTTACAGAAATAAATATTTTTTCTCTACTATTTTGAAATTAATAGGGATATTTCTTGCAAGACTGCAGAGGAAAATGATGGGCCCAAGCCCAGAAAGGAGCTTTCCTAGTTTCAGACAGAGGGCGGATAGTAAATTGGTTCTGTAAACCAATCCTAGAATATGCCCAGAAGAAAATATCCTGAAAAGACAACCAAGAAGAGAGCAAAGAGCTTCTGTGCAGGGTCTGTCTCATTCCCAGAATTCCGCATGGATTCTCTTAGTGTCCAATGCAGTGCTACCTTGACAACTCCAAACTCAAACGCTGTAGATTTAATAGGTGTCAGGAGCAAGGACTGGAGCAACAAACTAATGTAATGACCTCATGGAAGCTGCATGGCCAGCCCTAGGTTAGGTAAGCCTCAGCACAGCTGTCTCAACTACACTCTCCATTGCAGACTTCCTCGGCTCTGAAGTTTGTGCCTTGTATGGGTTTTTTTCACTCACATTTTTCCATTCCCTTGCTTCCCTTGGAAAAAAAGCAGGACTGCAATTCCAACATTTGTTCCAGTCTCTCTAAACCAGCACTCCTGCTGAACTGACCTGTCCAGATGATGTTCCTTTAGCTCACACATCCCAGTGAGGAAGGTAGAGAATCTGAAGCTTAAACCCTTTACAAATCCATATAGTACAATTTGGGGACAGATGAAAGCAGTGGTGGCCCTGTCTCAGAGCCATGTTATTTTCCTGCTGGATTTCTGCTGTAGCTTGTTTTGTCTTCCTGTAGTCTGACCCTAGATGATAGCTTTTTAATCTTTCCTGAGGCAAACCCAAATTCCTTGTCACATGCATGCACACCGTCACACACAGTGATATGTTCACTCCCAGAATCCAGTAGAATACAAAATAAATACTTTTTAAATCTCTTTCCACTTCACCCAACATTCTTTCCAGACCTTGTGACTCTCCCATATCTTATTCTTGACCTCTGTGTTAAATCCTTGCTCCCTCTCTTTTCCTACAGCTTTTCAACTAGGTTGAAAGTGTCTCCTTTTGAGAGCCCATTTGCTACCTAACACCAGTTTGAAGATTTTCAGCAGGATGCTAAAGGCTCCTTGCTCATTCCTTTCTCCTCAGGCTGTTTTCCATGTTGCGTTAATTCTTCTCTGCCTTTCAGAAACCCTTCTGGAAGTACTCTACCGTACTACTTAAAACAGTCTCCTAAACCTTACTCCTCTAACAGTCACAATCAATGTAAATCATCTGGGTTTACAAAATGAACCATATTAATCCATAGAAAATATTTCACTGATTCCATTTGTGCATGATGAGCTACCCTGGAATCACTCCAGTTTAGACAACAGGCTGCCTGGAGCTGAGACTACATGTTCTTCACTGCACTGTGTTGAACAGAACCCCTAACACAGTATTAAACTGAACAAAAAAGAAGCTCTGATTCAGGGAGTGTTGGATGGGATTCCATCCCTACTCCTGTTATGCAGATACTGTGAACTTTATCAACACTGGAGATTGCCCCAGTCTGAAAACAAGTCTTCTGGTCTGTACTAAATGAAAAGGCACTCAGCAAAAAACTCTCAGACACCCCAGTTTTCTGTGATGGAATTCAAAGCACACATGTAAGTACTGATAACAGTGGGTTGCACTTACTTCAGACCATGACTAAGCTCTTTAATAAGAGCGTTTATCTGTGTAGGTAGATGTGACTGCCAAAGAGAGATCTAAAGTAGCAAAAGGGTAAAACCAAACACATTAAAGCAGTCAGGTCATCTTGCATCAAGTCTTACTGGAAAACTTGAGCAATGCAGAGATGGCACTTCAGAGGAAAAATAACCCATAACCAGGTAGAGTTAGCTATCTGTGTGCAAGAACAGATGCTTGTGAGCTTCATAAAAAATCAAAGAGCTGTTCTGAGTCAAAAGCTTTCCTGTTCTGCAGGGAAGCCCCAAACCACAATCCAGGGAGCCAGTTTCTCAATTGTTTTTAAATTTACCCTTAACAGTTTAATGGTGCCAAAAGCCAGCAACAGATAAAGCTCAAAATGGAGAGTTCCTGGCATAAGAAGAATTTATTATCTCCTTTGTACATTTCCAAGAGGAGATTTCAAAATGAAAATGAGCAGTGAGGAAAGGCTATTCCTACTGCATTGTCCCTCCCATGGGAAGAACAGGACCCCAGGAGTCCAGAATTCCACTAAGCCAGTACTCCAGAAGTCAGGTGGGTCTCAGCCCTGTTACCAGTATATTTTATAATCACCTGGAAAAATACTGTCACTTCCTCTATGGATTTTCATTAGGGCAATGTCCAAATGCTGCACACTAAAAGCTAAATATCTAGATGGGAGGCTGGGTAGATTGAGGTTGAACGGTCTGCTAAGGTCAAGCTTCATTTCTCCTGTTCTTCCAGAAGGAACCTGCCAGTGCTCAGCCTGCTCTATGTTCAGAAACTCCCTAAGGTTTTCAGTCTGTCACTTGCATCAAACTTTTAAAGCCTATTAAGAAAATGTTGAAGGTAGTTCAGGTTACCTAATGTAGCTCTGCTCCGCTGCTTGAACTGAGACCGAGCTGCTAAACCGTGGTCCTGATGTTGTTCAGGTGTTGGCATTTGTTTAGCTAAACAAGTTCAACTGAGCTATAACTCTTGATGAAAAACACCCTTTTCCAAGTCTAGACTAAACCAAAGGGCTTTGAACACCAAGCACAAAGGGACCACGTTAGGACAGGACCAAGTTAAGCAGGACAGCTGTGAGTCAGACCTAACCACTGTGCTTCCAAGTGCCTGCATTAGAGCCTGCCTGAAGAATAATAATGAAAAAAGAGTCAAGCAACATATGTGAGAATTCTGCTCTTTGCCTTTTCATGTGGCTGGCTGTTTCGTTAAGCTGCTCTTTGAAAGGACAAATAGGAACAGCATTCTTTCCTGCACAAAATCGCCACAGGTAGCTTTCCAGGAGCATATACATTTTTAAACAATTACTTCTACTCCTAGACGTGCTTTCTGCTCTGAGAAGCCATTTCAAACACTGTTCCCCACATAATCAGGATGCTTCTCCCCCCTCCCACTCCCTCCCTCCTCTCCACTACCTAGTTCAGCTGTGCAGCTATGTTCTCACAAAGTTCTCCTGAGGGAGTCTCCTGCCTCCTCCTGCCAAGCGCTGCTCCGCTGCGGAATGGGATGGAGCATTAGTGCGATCCGCTGCTCATGCCAAAGGCTCGTCCAGAAGGGAGGTGGTGTGCATGTGCTGGCTGCGAGAGGGTTCAGGGAGGGGAAGAGCTGAATAATTTATGCCTTTTGCTTTCCAGCCCTATCCGAAGGCCTTTTAATTCTTTCCTGTTTGTTTTTCTCCCTCCTGTGGCAGCATTTAGTCACCTCCTCACCAGTGTGCCTTTGAGAAGGGAAGGGAAATGGAGTGTTTTCCAGGAAGACATACCGTTCTTCCCAAAGTGGGTTGTACAAATTACAGTTTAAGCAGATCAAACCCATAGGTCTGGGCTACTGTGAATGTTGCCTACAACCAGTGCTGCTGTTAGGGAAGGGATAAAGTCTGAGCTAATCTCTGAGGCATTGCTCAGAAAAGATGGTGTCAGCACACACCTCTTCACTCCTCTGAGACACATTTCCTTCATTTTATCTGGAATCGACTGGAGACAAAGCAGTAATGCACAGAGATTTGGAGAACTGGGTGTAAACTGCAAAGAAAGGAGTAGGCATGAAGTAAACTTGGAGCAGAGCAGCTCCAAGCATTCATCCTCTCTACGAAAATCACAACCACCCAGGCACGGGTGCTGTGTGCAGCTCTTACTAGTCGTGACTTCTGCCAGTAGTATTAGGTCATATTCCTATTGCACTGGGGGGTCTGATCCTGCTTCTACTGATACAAAGGCCCCCCTTGATATTTTAATCCCCATGAGTTGAGGACTTTGTCCAAACCTAGTAACAAAACAGGTCCACATTGTGCTGGGATTCACTTTCCTATCACTTTACTCAACTCTTCTCATGCCATCCATGCCAGCACGCCCAGTGCACCCATGATGGCTCAGACTTGCTTTAAATCCACATTCCTAAACCACCATCTCTAGGGGAGACTAGTAAACCATTTTTTAAAACTAAACAAGAAATGTTCTCACTGATCTAGGATATAATTAACTGTGTTTGCCTTGATACAAACATTCTGTCAGGTTTAAATGAATATAAATGATTGTTCAAAAATAAAGGAAAGGATTCTTTTTTAAAAGAGCATAGTTTGCTCTAATGGGATCTAATAACTCTTAATAGTTCTCCATAAAAGTAATAGTGTACTTAAATCTCCACTTGGCAATAATCCGGGGCAGAAAAAAGTGCGTTTTAAAAATGGGAACAGCTCAAGGCTGCACGTTCCCAGCCAGCAACAAGCTGAAACAATACAAAGAATCCAGATAATGAAGCACATATGTCTTCCCAGTACCAGGCGAGTCAACAGCTTCCTCATTTACACAATCAGAAGGGGGAAAATGGTCCCCCATTAATCCCGTTACCTGAGGTGAAAGGGTGAGGGCTGCAGAACCGAATAGGCCTTCCTCACAGTGGTGACCAAGATTTACACAAGTGAGCTCGCTTTGTGCTTTGATTTCTTTTCTCTTTTTCCAGCTCCTCTCTTTCTTCCTGGTATCCACGTTTTCAAACCTAGGGACTCTGGGAAAGCAGATTAAAGGCAGCCCTAGAGGTTTATACAAACTACATGAGGCACATGGCAGGATGCCTGGCATGAAACATGGGGCCTGATTCATAAACCAGTTCAAAAGCATATCTATAAAGTGTAAAATGGGGGGTCTCTTGGCCATCAGTTGTAGCAGATTCTCAGAGGAGATGCTGTGGGACCAAGAGAAGCCCTTCAGGCTTCTATTTACAAGGCAAATGTCACATCTTGCACAGCTGGAAAGCCAGGCTGCAGTGACAGTGCACTATATTGAGCAACAGAAAACAGAAGGAACCTGTATTGGCGCTTCTTTCAGTACTTTGATGTAACTCCCTCAAGCTCTTTTGACCAGGGCCAGAGTTAGGATCAGATCTCTTGGCTTGCAGCACCCAGCTATAGCAATTGGAGTGTGATGTACAGCACCACTGCCAAGGTGTGATCTTTGCCTACTATTACAAATGGCTGTAGGACTGCATCTTCACTTGCTAGCTGTCTGTCACACTACACAATACCCTTTTTTACCCTGGATGTAAAAAGGGAAGGTAAAAGCAAAGAAACTGAGGGGGAAAAAAAGAACTTCTTTTCAAGATGTACTTGAATGAAACCAGCAGTTTTCATCTGGAGTTTTGAAGTAATTTGTAATCAACTCAAAACACTCCCAAATCTACTAGTCTAAGACAAAAGAGTGGCAACTTGTGCTCCTGTATTTAGGAAAATGAATTCCGTTTGAATTCTGAGTAATGTTTTGTTTTCATAATGGGAGTAAGGAATCCCCCCAGACTGACTGAGAGCAGATCCCATTAACTGCAAAGGCCAAAGGGGGAATTGACAAGTGAGTGATTTGGCTATGAAATGAGGTGAACTAATTTGCAGAGGAATGAGGATTTCTGAGCATCTGGTGGCTGGCCTGCCTACGATAGCACGGAGTACTGCATGCAAACATCAGGATTTGGCTTGCTTGAGAGCAGACAGTGATGGCCCCTGAGCTCTCTGGTGACTTGGAGCTTACAGAACTTCTCTGCATTACCAAAGACTTGGGGTTTTTAAACTACGCTCTTTTTCCGTCCCCAAACATGTTCCTCGCTCTGCTCAAAGCAGCACTGACCACGTTACTTGGGCACACGGTCACAGCTGTGTCCCCTGTTTGTGTGCGCCGTGGGAAGCAGGTGTTGCCCTGTGCCATGTTATCGTGGAGATTAACGATGGACACGTTTCCAAAGGTTTGAAATAGGCAAATAATTGTTTTGGAGGCATCCCACAACAGCGCAGCTTTGTTGGAGCTTATTGAAACTCTGTACGTGTGGATCTGTATGAACAGCCAAAGATGACTGAAACAGCAAAGGGAGCCCTTGCCCGCTGTCAGAGCAGAAGGGATCCAGGTTAGTTAAGCACGGAAAGAGAAGGAAATCACTTCTATGAGTTCTGTTCCCCAGGAGCATGTGCTCATTTTCCAGAGTTAAGTTGGTTCTGGTTTAGTGACTGAAAACTTGTAACTCAAACTTCTAAACATTGTCATTTTATTACCTGAAGTTGACTTGGGTGACTCCTGGATTTTTCAGAGGGTGACCTTACCAAGAAGTCAGGGAAAACCTTTCTTTTCTATCAAGAAGATACAAGGAAACTGAGTGCAAATATTGATACTTTTTAATTTAAAATCCTTCTTTGGGAAACTAATGTTGGTTTTTAACCAGTCATTTTGAAGTCAGTGTGTAGAATACACCTGCCAAAGAGCCTTTCCTACCATAAGGGAATAAACCACATTTGAAAGTAATAAAACCATATGGCAAGGGAAGTTTATACAGTGAGGAGTATGTAAAGTGAACTGTGCATGATTCTTACTTATTTTTCAGTCAGGAACTGCTCTGCATCATCAAAAGTGAAGATGCTTTTGCAGTTTGTTTCTGTGTCAGCATCTGGGCAGCCCTCCCTCTCTTCTAGCACGTTGACAGACCTGCTCTTGGAGCCTTCCAGAAGGGACCTTCTCTCCAAAAGTGGGAAATTACTTCCCTCTTTTCTGCGAAAGCATCGGAAGGCCCTTGGCAGTGCTGGTACTCATCCCAGCTGAAGGAGGGGGTGCTTCCTTCCGCTGCTCTGTGCCAGGTTGGGGAGCACATACCTCGGGTTCCACGAACCACAGCTGAGTTGATGACACTCAGCACAATGAGTTGGTTTGTGATGACTCAAGGATAAGTGCAGAGAGAATTAGGGATAATGGTGCTGAGTGGCTCCTCTCTGTGGCCATTCCACAAGAGCTGAGGTTTATAAGAACAAAGCCACATCACTGACACTGTTGGCTGGAAACGGACTGATGGGAATATTTCTTTCCAATTCTTTGCAGCTCTCCATACCTTGGCCTGTGATTTAGAGTACATGCTAAATTCCATGATGAAGACAAGGGCAATTTCTCAGATAACACCTGGGTATTCACTCTTTGTGCTCAGGGGTGTTATTCCTTGCAGAACATCAATGTAGATCATAGAATCGCAGAGTTGTTTGGGTTGGAAGGAACCTTAAAGCTCATCCAGTTCCAGCCCCCTGCCATGGGCAGGGACACCTTCCACTAGAGCAGCTTGCTCCAAGCCCCTGTGTCCAACCTGGCCTTGAACACTGCCAGGGATGGGGCAGCCACAGCTTCTCTGGGCACCCTGTGCCAGCGCCTCAGCACCCTCACAGGGAAGAATTCCTTCCTTACATCTAAGATGAATCTCCCCTGTTTCATTTTAAACCCATTACCCCTTGTCCTTTCGCCACAGTCCCTGATGAAAAGTCCCTCTCCACATCTTTGTAGGCCCCCTTTGGATACCAGGAGGCTGAATGGACTCCAGCAGGGGCATAAAATTCTAACAGCAGAAGCTGTCCCAGAGGAATCTTTTAGAGATGTCCCTTGAATACCAAGGATGAGGACATGGAGCCTGCTAATTAGTTATACTGAAATGTTCTTCCTACATATTTTTGTTTTTGGAAAAGCAGTGGAGTGGAATTATGAAATGTGTAGTCTTGTTTGCTAGAATCAGCTGCCTTCTTTCTGAAAGCGTTTTGTGAGAGAAGGGTTGAAGAACATGAGAAATAACAGGCTTTACTCCGGGAGTGTTAATTGCCATTTCTCATTTGTTGCTATTCTCCTGCTAAATCAGCTTGCATACATAAAATCATAAAATCCACAATTTTAAAAGTTGTTGCCATTAACATCTTGTTTTGTAGAGGTAGCTAAATGGCAAAAGATAGAATTCTGAGATGCTGATAGAAGAGGGAAGCAAGGTCTTTGAGAACTCTTTTATAGATCCAAGTATTACAGTCAGAAGCAGCAGCCAAATGAGTTGGTACAAGAGGACAGAGAACTGATTTGGTATTTATATGAAATGGAATAAAGGAGATCCAGAGCAACAATGATGTAAAGCTGGAATAAACCTTTTGAGGCCAAGGAAGACACAGCAAAATGGAGATGAGAAGGAAGACCTTAGGATGCTTTATTTCAGCCAATCAGTTCCATTCATTATGACGTACTTTCATCTCTTCTTTCCATTAAAACAAACTCTTTTCTTTGTCTTCCATGATTACAGAGGACACATTGCTTTCTCAAACCCTTTTTTTGCCTCCCCTCCATCACTCTTCTGCTCTGTAATCTGCACAGCACTGGGTTGTTGCTGTTGGAGTGGTTGAAGGTGGTTTTTCCCCTTTTCATTCTCAGTTGCATTGTGAACTGCCCTCTGGAACCATGGCAGAGAGACCTGCCCATTGCATCATGCCTTTTTCCTTTCACCAGCAAGACTCTGTGACAGTCTTCTCTCAACAAAACGTTGTTGGCAGCATCAGCACCCACCAGCCCTCATGAAAATCCTCCTTTTTTCCTACAGCAAAGAATCAGATTTACTGACACAGTGTCATCCATCTGTTTGCAGGCACCCAGCTGGATGAAAAGGTGGACCTTTCACTGTCAGTAAACTCAGTTACCAGTGGACCAACAGGAGGAATGAGTTACTTAATTGAAAATGCATTTCCAAAGACTAAGTGTATTAGGAAAATGAGTTTGTTTTGTTCAGCTGCTGTCATGAAGGAAAGCACTGTGTAGGAGGACAGGCAATGGCTTTGAAAACTGTTCAGCCTATTTATGGCCCCTGTCAAAGTCAGATTAATGATTTTATATCAAAATGATACACACTTAATAATTTTTCATCATCACTGTAGTTTGGTTAGAAATAACAAGCATAGCAAGCTCTCGGTTCACATTTCCTGGAGTCTTCAAAGGGAATTAGTTGTGTGTCAGTGCCATGAGAGCTTTAGTAAGGCTTCATGGATTTAATCAAATGTTATAATTTTACAGTGTGTTTAAACTTATGAGTTTCACAAAAATTCAGACCTCTAATACAAAAAGGAAAACTTATTTTATGGCATTTCAATTTTTCACTCAAACATATGCAAAATACCACTTCTAATATGAATTCACATTTGTGTCATTATTTTTTTCTATCCCTTTTGTGCAATTGAAAGCAGTGAAATAAAGTGTATGGCAAAATACTGTGCAACCACATAGTTGTGCCAGCCCAACAAAGCAGATCTTCTCATTCCACACAGCTTTAGCCTATAGCGGAATGCTGTGGAGAGATCGGTACGGTGTGGAGTGCCCTGTGATGGGAATGCAAGGCGAGTGGTGCAGGCACACTGATGCTGTGTCTCATCTGAAGCTGTTCCTGAATGTGTTTAAGAATCCCAGGACATAGTTTTCACAGAAATTGCAGAGGAAATAACAAGGGCCTAACCCCAGCTTGTATCTCCAGCACCAAGTCCTGCAAGATCTGTGATCCCGGCTCCCCCCACCCCGAGGAACTGGGGAGAGAATGGCTCCTCCTGATGGCCTCACTCCTTGTGTTCTTGGCAGCAGCACTGCTCAGGAAATTCTAACAAGGCCGAGACATAACATAGACATTGCAAGGAGAACTGTTTACATTCCTGTAAAGAAAGCTGAGCAAGAGCTCTCAGGACCACTGAGTAAGTCTCTACATAGCTCCCACGTTTGAACTCTTGCCCATCCTGTGCTGCTGGGGTGGTGCTTGTACCCGCAGTTCAAGCACCCCAGGTGATGCCTTTTCACTAACACTGGGGTACGTGCCAGACTTCTCAATATTATGGGGCTCACTTTTGAGGTTAGCTGGGTGTCTTCTGGAAGCGGAGCCATCGGAACCAGGAAGACAATTCCTGAGACAGCAGCTAATGGAGGCGATGTCTGACTGTCATCATGGGATTTTACGCGCTGTACTTTTTATATATAGGAGAAGATATATGGCATCAGCTGTATGCATTTCAAAAGTCTGATGGGGCTGTAGCTTAGAAAAGAGCGTGGGTTGTTGTGTTTGTTCCTTGATATCAAAGATGCTATTTTAAATGAGAAGGAGCACACAGCAGAGAGAATTGTGGGATTTCTACTTGCCATTCAGTATACCAAAGATAAGTTAAGTTTAGTTTAAGTCAAAGAACAATTACTCTGAGGATTTTTATATGAATTACAAGTATGGGTTAGATTTTTATAATGCCTATTACAAGGAGGGCAGTCCACCCAGGACTGCTTACGTGGGTAGCTACAACATAAGGCATCACTTTCAATTGCTCTGTAATTTCTTTGTTAGCTTCCACCTGTTTATCCAAGCTACAGTGGAGACAGTGAAGAGGGTAAGATGAAATTGTGAGGGAATTCTGTCCTGGTAGCTGATGCCTGAACATCACAGATAATCAGAGGAAAAATTTTAAAGCACTGAAAATTACTAGCATATAACTTAGAGACTGCACCAAGTCTGTAACCTTGTTGTACTTACAAAAAGTCATTTTGTTTTGATTGCCTATTGAATAAGTCTGATTATTCTTTTAAGAGTCACTTGCAATGGAGCCTGAAGGTACAATATAAAATAATTGAATTGAGCGTAAAATTCCAGCTGGTAACCTTGTCAGTAATCTGAACAAAGATCTTGTATCTGTAATTTAGAGAGCTGAAGCTGTGAATGTGAAGTGGATTCTCCTTGTATTTAGGAACTGCACACCCGCCTTTTCCCCCCACCAGTGGCAATCCTGTTCTTACCATCAAGCTCATTTTAATGGAATTAACATACCAGTTGATGGCAGCACGCTGGAATTAGAACTGTGTGGTTGGCTCAGATTTATTTCATGCTATATCACAGTATGAACTTGAGGAATGATTTGCAGGAGACTGATTATCACGGACACTGAACTTCACCATAACTACAATAAGTAGTGACTGGATTCTTTTTTATCTTTTCTAAGCTATTTGTTGCAATTTTTGAGCCCCTTAGTGTCACTTTACAAGAGAGAGCCCTGGAGCTGTAGCCAAACATTCTTTAAGAAGTGACCAAAAGTGGTAAGACAGCACAAGGTTTGTCTTGCCTGTAAATGTAATACAGGGCTCTTCAACAGTTGGTGGCACAAGCCCTTCAGCTTTGTCCTCACAAAACCCTCTCACTTCACAGGTTGTGTATGAAATCTGGATAAATTGGACTCCAAGGATACAGGCAGGAGTTCAAGACTCCTCTTTATTAGGACACACTGTTTATTTCAAAGATGAAATCACCAGGATGCTGTTATTCAGTATTTTCTCACAATTTTACTTTGCACATAAAGGAATGAAATGATTCTCTTGCAAATCCAAGCAACTCCTTTTTCATATTCTAAATTATTAATAACTGCAGTATTTACCTCACAAAGAAAACAAAATCCTGAGGAACTGAAATTAAAAGCTGTTTGGGGAATGAAATATTGCACAATTTGTTCTGTGTTGCTTAAAATCTGCATTCAGCTAGAAATGAGTTTATCAATCTCTTTTCCAAATCTAAGATGTACTTCTTTTTCATTGCAGAGACAGCTTCCTTGGTTAGACAAATCCAAACATGGAAATCAACTTTTTGCAAGCATCAGGATAAGTGGTATGTTACTATGGCATTTTGGATGCCTCCTTATTTACTAAGCTCTTTAGCCCTGTGTTGCTAAGATGCAAAGCTGATGCACAAAACAATAGGCCATCCTCGTCTCCAGATAATAAGGTCAAAGTACAAAGTCAGTAGGATGTAATTTTCCACAAATGGAATGTGTTCTAATTAGAAAGATTCGATACTTAAGTACTATTTGAAGTAAGTGCTTTCTGATCCAAATAGGAGAGTAGTTATTAATAAAAATGAATTCTCTGCTTTGGTTTAATAACTGGTACCATCTTGTGACATGCTAGGAACACACACACGTGTGTATGTGCCTTTGCATACTCCCTGTCCCCCTCCATGAGCTGTAGCAGTGACAGCAGCACCTTGGTTTACCATCTCTGAGCAGCTACATCTCATTTCATGAAATGCTTTAAAGAAATGGTGCCAACCATTCCATGATGCTGTTATACCTCCCTCCTCTTTTGATAGCTCCCTTTTTATGTCCCAGCTGGTATTCCTTGGAGCTTTGCCTTTGGTAAACTGCCATATATTCTTTGCAAATATGCCACAGCTATTCACTTTTCCTTCTGCAAATGACTCGCATTAGCTTCTATTGTTGTTGCATGTCAGTGAGAATATAGTTCCTTCAGCTCACTAGCCGCTATTATTTTCCCCTATTTTCCATTAAGAAGTATTTTCTCCCAAATGTTATGAAAATACATTTCTTTTTCTGTTAACTTAGTTTGTAAAGCTTTTCCCACAGACAAATATCTCCCCCAGGATTAACTGTAGAGAACCTGAGAGATGGTGGTGGGTGTTCTTTTCCATCTGCAATGCATTTCCCCCCCTTAAATTTATGTATGTGCCTGCTCCCTCCTTATGGATACGTGTGGGAAGTAACTGGTATAGGAAATAAAGGAGTGTCTGGTGACCAATACATATGTGTTTGCACAGAGAAGGGATAGTTTGGGGAATATCTGTGGATAGTACGTTGCGCAGAAAGATTTCTCTTTGTATCTGAGCAATAGGAGTGGGTGAAAGTATTCATGTGCCCACCGATTCTGGTCTGATTCTTACCGAAGTTAACATCCGTACCCTGTACGCAATCCTACAGGTTTCAGTGAGTTTACATTGTGCTGTGCAATGATGCTTTGTTTCTTATGTCACTGGGGGACTTCAAGTATCAGTGGAGATGTACTTCTAGATCTCCAGTAAGTTGGAGGTGCTTTCCATCAGGAGAGGACAAGTGTTCCAAGAGGCCCTTGTTCAGTTTGATACAGCATCTGTACATTTGGACTGTGATGTGAAGAATTTTACCCCTTTCAGTGTGCAGAACTGGAAACCTCCCAAAGCAGAATTGCAGCATTTCTCCTGCAGCATTTCTGCGGTACTTTTAAAATTGTGTTCCAAGTTCTACATGTTTAGAATTTAGGCCACGGTACCACAGCCAGAGTGGGAGACAGCAGATATCAAATAGTACCATGATAGAGGCACATAGCTGCAGCACTATAATCAGGTAATAACCTGACCCTCCCTCCTGTACAGCAAAGTCCAAGAAGTCTCAGCATTAATCTCTTCCATAGTGTGAAGAGGCACACTAGGAATTTTTCTTGAAGATTTGATTAAAGGGAACCCAGGCAGTTCTACTAAAGATAAAACCCTTCCGAGGCAGCAGGAGAGGTGAGCTCCACCAGGGAAGGACTCTGAGGATTCCTTCCAAGCTGCAGGAAATAGATGGTAACTGCATTAAAGCTGAGGGTGGTATCTGTGCTGTGTGCTGTGGGGTGTGCCAGCAGAGCTCGGACCCTCTGCTGCCACCAGTGACACACAAACACACCTCACACAAGAGCGAGTTCTGGGGTAGGGAAGCAAGTGAGAGTTTTCAGAGCAACTTGTCTTAACATTAACAATGGAACATGCCTTTAGCCATGTGCAAATAAGCAGAGATATAACGTATGTGCTGTAACTTGGGCATAGGCTCTTGGTTTAAAAGCACACAGTTTGCACAGGCTTATGAAAACATTTGCATTTTGGAGGAAAGATAATGTTGTAGAGTGTTGTGCTGGAACATAGGAGCTCTTAGTGTCAACCTCAGTTCTGGCACAGGCTGCCTCTAGAACGGTATCAGATCAGTCTGCAGGAGCCATACAGCCTGTCTTTTGTATGTCATTTATGCTGTTCTGTAAAGTCAAAGGAAGATATGATGGAAATAAAAGGGTTGTTATTGAAAGACTCATGCACTGAGACAGCAGAAACAGTGAAATCAGTGCATCGGGTGAGATTTCTACCATTCAGAGCTCCAAATTTTTTTCACAGCAAGTCACTGCTGGTTGAACATCAGCTCTCAGAAAAAGGTGTTGTAGCCAAACCCAGCCTTTGTAGCACAGCCTTGAGTAGAGAGCACGTGCACTGCACTCACAGCATAGAAACCCTGCTGCCATTCGGCTGCGCTGATTGCTGGTGCTTGTGCTGTGAGTCACCTCACTTCATGTTGTTGCAGCAGTTTGTATATTTTGGGGAGGTGTAAAAAATAATAATAGGAAATATTTTATACGAATAGCATGATTTCAGTTCCTGTCTTGATCATTACATTGGCCAGGTAAGAGGCCTTGTTATTGGGAAGGATAAATAGACCTACTGGTAATGTAGCAAAAAAGATATATTCTCTACTTAGATTAAGCAGGCACAAACTGGAAGGGAGGGAGATAGAACGATTTTTCACATAACCATAATTGTGTGCTAATTATAGCATGGAATGAAAGCAATTGCCCAATTATAAGACAATGTATCACTCTATCACAGGCAGTGCTTTGAAGGTTTATGTACTTTAAATTACTGTGACATTCCCAAGGCTCCTCTGTTTACACATTTGTCTCAGCATCTTCTACCAACAGCAGTGCTATGACTAAAGCCATTAATTAATATATTCCCTGTGTCTTTGCAGAAGTTAGAGAGTCCTGTTCATAATGAATTTATGCTGTTCTGTAAGTAGCTTGATTTCCCCATTACACTGCTAATGACCACTCTGGGTCCACCACTTGAAATACACCCCATGTTTAAGTCATGTTGTATCTGCTAGTACACCTTTCCTGTACACCAGCCGCTGAGCCCTCAAAGAGAATCTGTGGCTGCCCCATCCCTGGCAGCGTTCAAGGCCGGGTTGGACTGGGCTTGGAGCAAGCTGCTCTAGTGGAAGGTGTGTGTCCCTGCCTGTGGCAAGGGGTTGGAGCTGGAGGAGCTTTAAGGTCCCTTCAGCTCAAACCGGTGTGGGATTCTGTGATAGAAAATCAGTGAGGGCTTACCAGCACTTCTTCCTCACCCACTTTCGTGCACCTTCTAATAACTAACCATATGACAAGTTAAGCCTTACTCTACTCCGGATTGCAGCACACCTATAGGTCATTAATACCTATCCCTTTGGACCTTGGAAGAGGATGGATCCTTCCAGGGAGTGGCCACCCCCAGGGCACCCATATCTGTGGCCGCAGTGTATGAAGACAGGATCTCTTCCACACACAGAGATGAGGTTTTTCTACATACTATTGGTCAAACCCAAATTGTCAAACCCCACACAGAAATCAATATGATGTCAACCTAGATCCTGGTGTGTTGGGAACCAGCTAATAAACAGGCTGCTGCATTCTATGACAGCTTCAGTTCTCAGATAGATTTAAGGTGCAGCCCTAAGTACAGCACACTGCAATATGCCTTGCTGTCAAAGTAAAGACTAGGGAGTGTTGACTTATTCAGCAGTTTCACACAAGGACAGGCTTGACAGGTGGCACCAGAATGTGAGGTCTGTTTCAGATTCTTTCATTAATTTTTTGCAAACTTTAGGCGCTTTTGAAAGGAACCATATTGATGGCACTAGAGGCTGCACTCTGCTATTTATCCATAAAATATAAATGGGAAGGGATACTCCAAGCTTACCTGTTTCCCTGGCTGAAAGGCATCAGCTCTTCTCTGTGATGTTTGGTGAGACTGAGAATGTAGTTGTCTCATTCACAAGGACATGTCTACAGGGCAATGTAGGGTAATACAATGTCCTTTGCTGGCCTGTAAGTGCTTCAATGAGATATTATGGGTTGTGTGTCTCTATCTTTGTTCCAACTTTTTTTTCCTGGTTTCATTTTTAAAGGCATTTGCCTGGTTTTACAGTTACTTATTTTGAATGTTTACCAAAACCTGCTGGTTTCTTGCCATTTTTGCCATTCTTTGTGAAATTAGGTCTATGAACCTTCGTGCAGCATTAAATTGATGGCTGTCTGCGTCTCGAAAGTCACCAGTCAGAGTGCTGGTAATTGGCACCTCAACATAAATTCCCAGCAGAGGCCAAGGACCAGATAGTTTCAGAGATGAAAGACCATCTGCCTCTTCTTGGTGGATCCTCATGGCTGACTGAGCAATGTCAGGAAAGCTTGTCTGCTTTACCTTTTTTTGGGGACAAGTCAAGGATTTCTCTACCACCCATCTGGTACCTGATCCTGGCATGGGTTCTTTATTATTTTTAAGATAATTTGCCTTCCTCCCCCCTCTTCTCGTGGCAAAGGGTTTTAATCCCCTGTCACTCGCATTTTTCAAAATGGCACCTCAGATGGTGGGGACAAATGCATGACTTGCTGTCCCCTGTGTTTTGCTGCCACAGGTGATGCTAGTGGAGAGCCCCGTTCCCTGGTGCGGTACAGCCAAGGTGTTTGGCATCTCTAAGTACCCAAGAACTTGGTATCATTCTTGGTATCTCCCTTTCCTGCACTGTGCACATTAATGCTTTGGCACATAAAAAATGCCAGCAGATGCCATCAAGTGTAAAGAGACAGGTGGTGTCACTGCGTCAGAGGAGGGACTTCCTCCAGAAAGATGGCACTTGCTGAGTTCCGTAGGCTGCCCGTGCAAATCCTTCCCCACGTGGCACCCATCTCCTTGGGAGCCAGGCCTGGTGTCCCTGCGAGCCGGCACAGCGCCATGTGCAGCGCAGGAGTGCACACACACACACAATGGAGGTGCTTGGTAACG